TCCGTTGAACGGACGGCTGCCAGTGGCACGCCGAGGCGGGAGCGCTGAGGCCCGGGTCGGCTTTGCCCTGCCAAGTTTCCTTGGTGAAGTGGTTGTGTTGGCATCGCCCGCTCCTGGAGGGCCGGTCAGAGGCACGTCAGAAACGTCAGAGCAATAATTAGCAACGGCGTCAGGGCCTGGGCTGTTCTGATAGTGTGAAATCACGGCTGCCTTGGTCTTGGATGAACGAGAAAGAGAGGTTTCTGGAAGTCACGAGGACCTGACTTTGACTTCTTCCCACTTGGGTATAGGGGAAGGTATTTTTAGACTAGACCATTAAAAAAATAAAAAGAGGTTCAAAACGATGACTGTTTAAACTGACAACCACATAAGTCATTGGGTTTCCCTCAAAACGACCTGGCTTCTGAATGAATTGTCTGTAGATATCTGAGTCCGGCTGAGCGCAGGGCATTTTGCACACAGGGAAAGTTCATGATGCAGGGCCGTCAGCCCTGCAGTTCAGAAGGCAGTAATAGCTTGTGGCAGGCGTAGAAACAAGTGCGTCCTGGGGAATGTCTAGTTAGGAGGAACAAGCAGAGGTTAGGACAGAGGCCCCAGGGAGGCCGGACTGAGCAACCTAGGAATGGAGAGGATTTTTACAACAGCCAGCGTTGACAGAGCCCTCGTCTCGTTTTTGTCTGACGTTACACTAAGCTGTCAGCTTCCGGTGTTCTAGTCTCTTCTACTGCAAGGGAGAGAATCTTATGGAGTAGCCTCTATTACACCTCCTTATCTTACTAACGAGGAACTGAGACACGAACAGGGTACATGATCTATCTACGTCCCAGCCTAATGAGTAACAGGTGGAATTCCACATTAGCTTCTAGCTCCCAAAGCTGGTTAGGGTAGAAAGGGTGCGAGTGTGGACATGAGTACAGATGTGGATATGTAATATGTGTGTGCACATCAGCTGTGGTGTAGGCGGAAGACAGGACGGGGGCAGCATTTCAGATTCCACACAACGGGCAAACCTAAGCTTGAAAGTGAACACTGGCTTGGGCCAGTGGTGGTGGTGATGAAAATACTCGATGAACTGAGAAGTGGGGCTTACCTTAGGAAGGGCTGGATGGTCAGGGGATGGTTACGGAGGACCCCAGCGGGCAGGCCAGAGCACATGGCTAACTGAGTTAGCACGTGGCAGGGCATTTTGGCTGACCTGGAGCAGAGTCTCAATCATGTACCAGCTGGTCAATTAGGTGACCACCATATTGTGTCTGTGGGCTTTGGGCACACAGACCGAATATTGGGGAGATGGTCGGAGCCCAGAAGACCTGTGGGAAGGTACTTGAACTCTGGGTGTGGGATTTAGACAGATGGAAACTTCAAGGGTAAACTAGAGGTGGCCAGCAAAGGAGATGTGGGCTGAGCTTGAAAGAAGGGAGTGCCCGTGGGACCAGAAGATGGCTTAATGGTTATGTCACTGGACTCCCACCTGGTGGACTGCAGTTTGAGTCCCAGCCCTGTAGCTCAAAACTCACACTGAGCGTATGAATGTGCATGCTCAAAACCCCGAGAGGGAAATGGAAGAGAAGGGATTGCAGCATGGCCATGCCCCTGGGGGGGGTTCTCGCTTTCTGTCTCTGTCTCTCTGGTGAGTTCACGTGCCCCATAACAAACGTCTCTCTCTCTAAAAAAAGGGAAAAGAAAGCAGTGGCCAGTCTTCCCACTCCCGCCGGGGGCAGAGTTCTCCTGGTGAGTGTGAACCAGTGGCCATGAGTCTGCCATTGCTGAAACTCCCACGCCTCCCTGTGTACGCATCCCCATTTTACCGATAGTTCTCTGCTTTCCAACAAGGGGCCAGTCTCATCGCTCGATCCCTGGCCAGAGAAACCGCCCCGTTCTCCCCCAGATCGCAGACAGGACTCTCAAGTATGATTTTGGACCATGCACTCTTTTCTCCTTGTGCTCAGACTTGAGACTTTATCCATGAGTAAGCTGCATTTCCACAGTACACTGGAAACCACCCCTGCCATTTTCCCAGAGATTTCTGGAAATATAAACAAATGTAAAAAAAGTAGACGTGCAAGAGAAATGAGAAAACTGCTAATATGATATTTGGGGGCCGTGTAAGAGTCAGCCCCTGGGGATTCCCCAAAATGCTTGGGTTTGAGAACACTACACGGGGCAGGGCCTCCTGCGGGATTGGGAGGGGTGCACTGAAAGCCACAGAGCCACACGGAAATAGCGAGGCAGCTGCACATGTCAGCACGGGCTGGTGGTGCCCAGAGAGCCAAGTTAGTAAACACAGCCATGCTGGTATGATTCGGGCAGGCTGTCGGTGTCTCTGCACAGATCCTGTCTGGCCTGCGTGCCCGTGTTCATTAAGCAAAGACAGCAAGCCTTCGGCAGTCATGTCACTGACTGACACCAATGAATAAACAATAAAAGAGCAGAAGAAACACGAAGACCTTTATTTTTGCCCTGAGCCATGGTCTGCATACAAGATTTTGTCTTGGGGAAGCATGATTGATCACGGTGTTGGTGAAACTTATTCTTTGCCGATCTAAAGATGAACACAGATGTCAAAGCAGAAGGAATAGCTTAAGGCTGCTGTGTCCCTTGTCAAGACAGTGACAGCGCGAAGAGGCTGGGCTCCAAGAGTCCACTCGTAGATGGTCCTCGGGACACAAGAGCACGTCCCCAGAGAAGCAGCGCTCAGAAGGAGGCCTCGGCTGTAATGAGCTGGAAAACTCCGAGGCACCTCTGAGCCCTGAGTGTGCCGAGAGCCACCATGAACTGCGAGGGTGAGGATAGAGCCGGTCCCAGGAGCCACACTGGGGGTTAAGGACGTTTCCTTCGAAGGCTTGTTCATTTTTGGCACAGGTGTCTCAGGACTGGTTAGCAATAGATCATTACTTTTTATAAAAAAAACTTTTTATTTTAAAATAGCCTAAGACTCACAGAAGGTACAAGCATGGAAGAGCTTCTGTGCGGCCTCCACGGGGCTTTCCCAGTGATCCAAGTCTCCCAACCGCAGTACGCTGCCGGAATTGACCTCGTACAAAACAGTGAGCTGGAGTAGCGCTCTGGCTAGATCTGACTAGTTGCTTTTTTCATAAACAAATATAATGCTTTAGAATTACTAGATTGTTTTTTCTTTCTTTGTTTTGTTTTGCCATAAGGAGTGTGTGTGTTTCCCAGAGAGAGGGAAAGCAAGAACCCCCCCCCCCCCCAAAAACCCCCCCCCCCCCCCCAGAGAGATGGCCACACAGCAATCCCTTCTCCTTCATTCCTCTCTTGGGATTTTGGGCATTCACACACATGTGTGCAGCATGATTTTCAAACTGCTGGGTCCGGGACTCAAACTGTGGTCAGCCATGTGGGAGTCCAGGGCCTTAACCTTCACACTACCTGCTGGCCCTGATCATTTTATTTTTCAAGTGTTATGAATGCCAAAAATCTGGGCCGGCTCTGTGGCACCGCGGTAACACTCTGCTCAAGAGAAGCTGGATCCATACGGAAGATGGCGTGTTCGGTTCCCTGGCTGACCTGCAGTGCCGGCCACATATCCCTGACTGGCTAACTGAGCACCCTGGGGGAGGGAGCGTGAGACCTTGATGGGTGCTCATCTCTTTCTCTCTCCTCTCTCTCTGTCTCCCACTCTCATGAAATAAATAAACGAACTAAAATGCTAAAAATATCCATATTTTTACAATGAAAGTTTCCAATCTTTACTGTAAAAAATGTAACAGATGATAGTATTTCCGTGAAGAATGAAGTAGGCTTTATATTCACACAAGTTAATTTTTATATACAAAAGGCAAACTTTTTAAAAATGCACAATCTGAGTCCGAGTTGGCTCTATGCACAGTGGTTAAAGGCTACCTAAACCCCGCATGGCTGACAGTGGGGAAACAAACGATGCAAGTGCGCGTGTGCCCCAAATCCTGCTGAGATGCAGAACTGGAGGGAAAAGGGTTGGGGCGTGACAACACCCCACTGAGAGTTGCTTTCTCTCTCTCTCTGCTGAGTACACGTGCCCTCTGACAATTAAAAAAAAACAAAACTAATTTGTAACCAAAGGAATAATTTACGAAAAAAATTAACAGTTAATCGGAGTCAGGGGATTTACGAGTGTGTACACCTGGTCCTGTTCCCACTCAGCTATAAATTGAGCAGTCACTTTAGGCAAGTCATGTGATCTCTTTGGCTCATGAAATAAGGACATTAGATGGTGTGGCTTCTAAAATGTCTTTCAGTTGAAAGGAATCCTATGGTACGCCCACGTCAAAGGCACTCTGAGGAGGTCATTATGGAGAGCACAGTATGTTTTCACTGGGGCTCCTCAGTGCCCCGTGGCCTGTGGCCCTCCTGGAGGCACCGCAGCCACCATGTTCCCAGAGACCACCACAGCCACCAGCCCCAGCGCCTCTCTCTAGGCCACCTTCCGTGCACACCTGGATGGAAACACCACTCATACCACGAAACGTGTTGTGTGCACCTACTTGTGTTTGGCTAAAATAAAGAATTCCTATGGCGAGTCTACAAAGTATGTGTGATTTCATGAAACGCGGGATGGTGTAGGGCATGGTGGTTCCCTGTCTGCAGTCAGCAAGTGCAAGCCTCGTGAGCCATCATCCGGAGACTATTTCAAGCTGACATTACCACGACGTCACGCGTGAGCGTGGCCAGATCTCCTCGAATGGGATGTGTCTGGTGGTGTGTGTGAATTCACCGAGGAGAGCCTGGGTGTGAGCTGCAGACAGTCCAGTAGGACCATGGAGTGGCCCACACCATGGAGTGGTCGGGACTCCTCCACAGATGAGCTGAGAAGCTCATCCATCCAAAAAAAGGAAGCAAAGCCAACATCGAACACAGTCTTTGCAAGGTATTTGTTTTACAGGTCATGCAGGTGCCATTCCATTCCAAGAACTTTACCTCTATTACATAACTTTCAGTAACTATGTTAGCCTTTGGGGTTTTTTTTTAGATATTTATTTATTTCATGAGAGAGAGCCTGTGAGTGTGAGAGAGAGACAGACGCACTTGGCGGAGTCTCATCCTGCACGATCCCCTTCTCCCAGTCCTCCAGCCAAGCAGGATCTCGGACACTCTCCCCGCTTGTCAGGCTGACTCAGGATCCGGACCTGGGCAGCCATGTGGTTTCCAGCACTGCGGATCCGGACGCTTCTGCCTGCACCACGCAGCAGGGCCCTCGTCAGTTTTCAAGTTCAATGAGTTGAGAAGTTTAAATCAAGTTTGCATGGATGCCTGCCACTTCCCGAGATGGCTTGCTCATCTTTGAAGGTTACACAATGTGACTTACGTACATTAAGGGTCAGAGGTGGTGGGTCTCTCCTGAATTTCCTCCCCAGAGGAACCGTGATCAAACCATGGAAGGCATCTCAGAAAGACAGTTTCCTCCGTAATGAGGCCCCCTAGCAGCCCCTCGGGGCAGTACCGCAGAAGCGCTTAGTGACTGGAAGTGGCCTCTTCAGGAGCCCTTCTCAGGCCCCCAGTAACACGTTACCACGGCGCAAGCAATTTGTGTTCTTTTACACTCTTTTTCACAAAGAGTACACTTTTTCCTTTTCACTTTCCATCTTTGATGACTGAAAAAAAAATTAAATTAAAATAGAAGAACCAGCAAAGCCGTGTGGAGACGCTGACGTTAGGGCTGGCTAGGCTCACTCCCGAGCTAAGTGGCTCTGCTAGTCTCAAATGTATGCAAGTCAAGTTCACATGTCTCCTGAATGAAGGGCGATTACATGTTCTGAGCTTCCAAGGCCATGCTAGAATGGACATGGCATATAAATGAAATATTCTACGAGAGTTTCTTTAGCTCAGTGGGGAAAATGCCACTCATCAGATGGGATGCTTTGTGACGCGTACTAGGGGGGAGGGGGGATGCCTTTCCTAGAACTGCAGAGACCCCCAGGGAGTATCTTGGGATCCGCACTTCCTGGCTGCACTGACCTGCAGGAGGGGGACCACTTTCCCACTTACAGCTGCTCCACTCTCCTCTCCCTGCAGCAGGCAGTCCTCGCCAGCTGGGTCTGTTTTCTGCTCAACTACAGTTACCCTCAACCCTGCACTGGAGACAGCCCCTTCCGCATGCTCGGGGTGGCACAGGAGAAGCCTGTCTGGCGCTCTGGCCCTAAATTAGCTCCAAGAGTCGCGATGTGCTTCACTCTGTGGCTGTTGTTGTTGTTTTGTTTTAATTGCTAGAGGGTGTGAGCACTTGCCAGCTAGAGAGAGAGAAACAGAGAAAAGGAAAACACCTCCCAACAGGGCGTGGTCACACTGTGAGCCTTTTTTCTTATTTCTTCTTCCCAGCAGGATTTTGGGCATGCATAGATGCCCAGCAGGTTTCACAAGGTGACAGGGTTGGGATCTGAACCATCATCACCAAGTGTGATCTGACTCCCCATATACAGGGTCCAACCATTTCGCTATGGGGCTGGCCTTCATGGTTGTTACAATAGCACCAAACCCCCAACCATGGAAAGGAAAGCGATGAAGACTTACTCGTCTATACATTAGCAAATACGAACCCTAGAAGTCTCCTAGGAGTACGTAAATTTTCCGACCTTACCATAATTCAATTCTGAAAAGTTTAGTCCTATTTAGCATCTTTTATCTTGGCTACCACCTTCTCTGAAGATGACTCTCAGATTCAAGATGTTTCAAGTATAAAGAAAGCAATTATTTTAAAAGGATAATAACATTTGTAACATTGCCCTGAAAAACAGAAACTTTCTTCTAGGGAAGGGCAAATTGTAATCAACGGACAAGCAAAAGATAATTATTAGTCCATTTACATCAATGTTAGGGTTTAATTATAGGCCAGAGAACAATGGAAGTTCTCTGTAGTTTCACTACATTCACATACTAAGGTAAAAAAAGCTCTTCCATGCCAAATAAGGAGAGAATGAGAGTCCCAAACATTTTTCCCCACTTGTTAAAAAAAAGAAAGAAAATATGATTGCGCAGTTTTTTCCTTAGGCTTGAGAACATGCACTAATTCACTTGCCAAATTTTCTTCCAACGGCTCTTGGGAAAAAAGTTGTATTTCCACATTTAATGTAGTATACTCAACAAACTCATCTTTATTGTGCATTACGTTGCCCAAACAACACAAATGCCATTAAAATGAGTTATTTTGGAAAGTCAATACATGCTGAAGTTTCTCTAATATCTGATCTATCCATTCCTAAATACAGTAAAAATACCGGCTATAAAATTTCCAATCAATAAGCTGAAGTGATGACCTTTTCAAAAAAAATTCACGTTGGGACCAGCAGATGGCGCAATGGCTGTTGCTGGACTCGCACGCGGTTGACTGCAGCTCAAGTCGTGAACCTGCTGGTTTAAAATTCATGCTGGGCAGGTGTGCGTGTGTGCCCTAAGTCCTGAGAGGAGAATGGAGGAGAAGGGGTTGTAGCATGGCCATCTCCCTGGGGGATGATTTCTTGCTTTCTCTCTCTCTCTGCCTCGTTCTGTCTCTCTGGCAAGTGCATAGCAAAACTCTCTCTAAAAATAAAAGAATTCAAGTTAGTATGTCTTACAAAGCTCCAGGCCATGAAACAATCATTCTTATTGGACCAATAACTACTGATCGCCATGTCTACACGCGTGCCGTGCCACGACTTCCTGTGACTGCGGAGAGCTCTGCGCAGTCCTTGCTGCTAGGCACACGGAGCAGCTGCGGGCCCTTGACCGCGGCTCCTGAGACAGGCAACTTCTCTTTACACTTCATCTTGTTTTTTTTTTTGTTGTTTTTTGAGAGATTTTCACTGTAGGGCGCGTGCGCTCGCCAGACAGACAGAGAGAGACATAGAGACAGAAAGCGAGAAATCACCCCCCAGGGGGGATGGTCACGCCGCAATCCCTTCTCCTCCATTCTCCTCTTGGGATCTTGGGCACGCACGCACATGCGCCCGGCGTGAGTTTTAAGCCACCGGGTCCGGGACACGAACCGCGGTCGACTATGTGGGAGTCCAGCGACATAGCCATTACGCTAACTGCTGGTTCCCTTTACACTTCATCTTAAGTACTGTCCATTTAAATTGCAACAGATAGCTAATGGGTACTATATTGGATGGTGCAAATAAGGAATAGATACTGATTAATTTTTTTAGAGACTTTGGCGTAGGGCACATGCACTTACCAGACACACACACAGAGAGAGAGAGAAAAAGTGAGAAATCATCCCCCAGGGGAGATAGCCACGCCACAATCTCTTCTTATCCATTCTCCTCTCAGGATTTTGGGCACGCACGAACACATGCCAGGTATCAGTTTCAAGCTGTTGGGTACAGGACTCGAACCATGGTTGGCCACGTGGGAGTCTAGCACCTTAACCACTTCACCACCTGTTGGCCCCAAGTCAAAAGATATAAAGATGAGAATGATCAGCTTTTCTCTCAAAATTCCTACAAAGCCATAGAGAAAATAAAGTGCATACATGATTTAAAATCAAGGTCAATTGAATTTGTGTAGAACTTAAGAAAATGTAACTTTGGGGGTCCAGCAGATGGCATGGTGGTTAAGGCACTGGACTCCCATCTGGCCGACTACGATTCGCGTCCTGGACTTGCAGGCTTGTTTTCTCACTTTCTCTTTCTGATGAGCACACATACCATGTAGCAGGTTGAGAAATAATAACAATAACTTTTTTTAATTAAATAATTTAAAATTAAAATTACATTAAAATTAAAAAATCAAATAATTTTTTAAAAGAAAGGAAATGTAAATTGTGTATGCCCAAGAAGAGCCAAGGCAGTTCTGTAAAGGAGCAAGGTGAGAAGGGGCTGGTCCTGTCAGGCATCAAGAGTGCTCATGGGAGTAGTCCTGCATGTGGGAGGTCAGCGCAGAGACGGGCAGGAGCAGTGGGACGGAGTGAGGGCTCGGGAACAGTGTTACCCACGGGGGGACCTAATGTAGGACCGAGGTGCGGTGTGAGTCAGGGCAGAGGATGATTGTCCCATAAGAGCACTCAGACAGTGAGTCGTCTGCGTGGGAGGAACGGGGAAAACCAGACCCCCGCATGCTCTGGACAAAGGCAGCTTTGATCTGAAAAACGCGATCGAATGAGAATGTACAGGAGAAGGTACTAAGATCTCGGTCCAGAGCACAATTTTTGTGGAAAGATTCAAAAAGGAGAAGCTGTGAAGGAGACCGGTCCACTTTATGGCACTGGGATTTAAAATGTGTGATCCCTAGACACTGGGAAGTTGAAAGACAAGCCTCAGACTGAGAAGAGAGTATGTTCATACCTGACAAAGAAGTAGAACATGCAAATACATACATAAGTTATCCAAAACCAATCAGAAAAGACAAAACAGAAATAACAAAGAAAACACGAGCAGAGAACAGGATGACACAACTCACTGAAAAAGCACCCTGAATGACGCGTAAATACAAGCGGAAACTGGCTTCGGTCTGACCAAATAAGGGACTTGTAAACCGAATGATGAGACCGTCTCTACACTGACCGCGTGTGCTCGTATACTGGGGCCTAACAAGTGCAGGTGCGGCGTGGATGCGGACGACTCCTGGGGTGGACATGGCTGGGACCACCTCTAGAAGCAATCTCGCAGCGTTCCGCTAGAGCTCAGCATACGCTCACCACACGGTCGAGCTGTTTGCTTCTAGGTGCTTACCTTGCATCAATTCTTGCACAAACACGTGGCAAACATGCGTAATACCTTCACAGCGGTATGGTTTCTGGGTTTTCTAGTGAAAAACTAACAGGGAGCTAGGTGCCTCTTAATAAGGGGTGGAAAGCTGTTGTATGGACACTTTTAAGGTCTCAAAATATACTGTAAAGAGAGAAAAAGAAGCGATGGAAGAGTATGGAGCCATTTATATGGGTTTTCTGAGCACTCCAAGTACTACCTGCTCCTTGTGTGCAATGCCCATGGGTTAAAAGAATTAAAACGCTGGGGACCAGAAGTTAGCGTAATGGCTATGTCACTGGACTCCCATGTAGTCGACCATGGTTCACGTCCCGGACCCGGTGACTTAAACTCACGCTGGGCGCTTGTGCGTGCGTGCCCAAGATCCCAAGAGGAGAATGGAGGAGAAGGGATTGCAGCGTGAACATTCCCCCTGAGGGTGATTTCTCGCTTTCTGTCTCTCTGTCTCTCTCTGTCTGTCTGGCGAGCGCACGTGCCCTATAGCGAGAAAAACCTCTCCAAAAAAAAGTAAAAAAAAAAAAAAAAGAATTAAAACCCAGACAACTTCTACCAGTTACACCTGGGCAACAGAGGCCCAGGCCCTTGAGGAGCTCACTTGGCCTTTCCTGGGTCTTCTCCCCACCCCACAAGGCCAAGGGGGGGTGCCCACCTGGGGTCCACCCTGACATTGACCATGTGCTGGAAGAGGGGACCCAGGAGTCCCTGCCCATGGCCCTGAGCCCTTCTCCCAGACCCAGCCCTGAAGGACGGGCCGCTTTGGAGAGTAAGGAAGACGGGGCTAGGACCTGAGGGGCAGGAAGACTTCAGTCATGTCTGTGATGTGCTCATATGTCATTTGTTTTACTTTGCTAAATCGTTTCAGTTTGCATTTTACTTTGCTCTACATGTGCTTGCTGGAGAGACAGAGAGAAATGAGAAAGTATTCTCCCCTCCCCGGGGAGGGGGGTTGGCCATGCTGCAATCTCATCTCCTCTATTTTCCTCTTGGGATTTTGGGTATGCACACATGCTTGCTGTGTTTTTTAAGCCACCAGACCTGGGACTCAAACCCCACAGTCAGCCATATGGAACCCAGCTGTCTTAACCAGTGCACCACTAACCGGCCCCACATTAGTTTTATAACAACGTGCCTGAAGCAAATATAACGTGATGACACTTGCTTATTCTGGGGAAGTGGTATTTTTTAGTGCTCGTTTTATTAATGGCTGACTTGTGTTTCAAGGACTAGTCTAAGAGATTTATATGAAACATTACAAGGTCCAAGGACCAGCAGGTGGCGTCGTGGTTAAGGTGCTGGACTTTCACATGGTTAACTATGGTTGAATTCCAGACCCTGTGGCTTGAAAGTCATGCCAGGCATGTGTGTGTGCATGCCCAGAATCCTGAGAGGAGGAAGGAGAAGGAATTGCAGGATAGCCTTCCCCTCTGGGGAGTAATTTCTTACTTTCCTTCTCTCTGATGAGCTCATGCACCCTATGGCAAAACCAAAAACCAGGAACCAGCAGTTAGTGTAATGGCTATGTCGCTGGACTCCCACGTAGTTGACCGTGGTTCGCGTCTGGGACCTGGTGGCTTGAACTCACGCCGGGCGCATGTGCGTGTGTGCCCAAGATCCTGAGAAGAGAATGGAGGAGAAGGGATTGCGGCGTGGCCATCCCCCCTGGGGGGTGATTTCTCGCTTTCTGTCTCTATGTCTCTGTCTGGAGAGCGCACACGCCCTATAGTGAAAACCTCTCTAAAAAAAAAAGAAAAAAAAAAGCCAAAAACCAAAACCAACCAAACAAAAAAATGCAGGTCCATTATTGCTCAGTTTTATAGAAGAGAGCTAGACAACTTGCCCAGTGTCACTGGTCATAGGAAGAAGGGGGAGTTTGAACTCTGTGGGTCTCACCTTCCACCCCGCTCTCTTAGTAATTACATTGGGTCTATTTGCACATTTGCTCAGATTACTTTGTTTTTTAATAATGTAACTAAAACTTAAGTCCCAGACAACCACAATGCAAAGGCAATGGTAGCATTCCGCAGAAGTTGTTAGAGCTGTTAGGAGCACAGGCCAAGAGTACGCTTGTAGGGAAGGGAGTCGCGATGTTGACTGGGGGACGCCTTTGCCATGGAGGTGTTGACATGAGAACCAGGCCAGCTGGGCAGTGAGGGGGCAGGGGGCAGAAGGCAAATTTCCAAGAGGAAGGAACTTCATGTGAACAGGCATACATTTAGGACATCCAAACATTTAAGGATTAGCAAGTAGTTCTGTTTGGCTGTCCGTAAGGAGACAATTTGGTGAGGGACATAGATTAGGACCTTCAAAGGGAGGATGAGGGGACTTAATTTGGAAAACAGAGAGAGCCACTGAAAGTGGCCCCTCTGAACTGCATCATGGGAAGATGACCTCGCGTGCAGGCTGGGTGCTACACTGAGGGGCACCCAGGTCACCTCCTGGGATGACCGTCTAGCTGGGAGGCACCGGGGTGCAACGAAGACGGTGGGCATGCATGAGCAAAGGAAGGGGCGTGGGAGTGGGCATGTGCTGGGGTGGGGAGGCCAGATGAGCCCTTTATTCCACGATACTTACTGAGCACTGCTAGGTCCCAGCACTGCTGTAGGTGGGGGCAAAGCAGAGGGGAGCAGAACAGGCACCGCTTTCTGCCCTCGGGGAGCTTGAGGTATAGCTGCAGGACACAGGGAAGCTAAACAAACGAGATGAACACGGAAAAGTAAACCATCAACAGAGGATAAAAATATGCATAGGATACATGGCAGCAAAGGCTGCGGAGGCCGAGCAGGAAAGGAAGCCCCTTGAGGAGTGTCCATCTGGTGAGGGGGAGCCACGCCAAGGTGACATTTGAGTGAGGGCCTAGGGGGCCAGAGGTCTCTTGATGATACTGAGATTCTGAATCTGGTCCAGGACATGTTTACACCGAAAGGCAGGCCAGGAAAAGGCCAGATTGGGCCTGGGGTCCAGAGGACAGGTAAACACATGGACTAGACTGGGGGACTAGCCCCCCCGAAGACACGGGGCTAGTCAATGAAAGGTGGGAAAGAAGGGAAAGTCATTGAAAGGCGGTGTCAGGCCTACTCTAGTAGCAGGTCAACCAGAGAGACGGAGCAATGGACCCCAGCATCCCGGGGCCTGGTCTGTGTGCCCCCACACTAGGTGTTTCCTCCCACCCAGCGTCCGTAAGCCCTAGGACAGCCTCCGATGGTGGGCATTATGAACTCAGCCACTAGGAAAAACAGCAGTAATAGTAGCTGCCACTTAGAAAGCGTATCCTGTGTCCTGGGCCTTCTGGTGCTTCATCCACAGTCATCAATCACTCTTCCCAGCAACCCTCTAAGGCTCGCAGTGTTTTGGCTTCACTGGACAACTGAGGAAGGCAGGAGCTGGCAGGTCAAATTGGTCCTGGTCATGGGCTGGGGCGGCAGTGAGGCTGGGCTGAACCTAGACAGCCTCAGCCTGGTTCCTCCTGGGTGTGGAAGGAGGGGAGGTGGTCTGTGCTTCCTCAGCCTCTCCTGCCCACGGAGAAAAGCTTGCTAAGGGCGAGCCCGGTGGCTAACCGCGCCTGGAGAAGAGCAGCGAAATTCTGAGAGGCGTGGGAGAGGTGGGAGGCCAGGCCAGGCCAAGGCAGAACTGTCTGCGGTGCACCTGAGAGACGTGGGAGAGGTGGGAGGCCAGGCCAAGGCGGTGCTCTCTGCGGTGCACCTGAGAGACGTAGGAGAAGTGGGAGGCCAGGCGAAGGCAGCGCTCTCTGCAGTGCACCTGAGAGGCACTGTCAAAGGCTGGCCCAGAAACACAGGTGACCTGGCCGGCAAGGGGTCCCAGT